AACACCTGGACTTTAATTGCTCCCATGAATGTGGCTAGGCGAGGAGCTGGAGTAGCTGTTCTTGACGGTGAGTATCGGGATTTGGAGAGATGAAGAATAGACAGTGGTAATGTTCTAAAATCCCCAGAAAATTACTCAGAAGCGGCCATCTTTTCTGGTGCAGTGGTGACTGGCAGTTTGTCCTTTAGAAATGTCATTTTTAGTCAGAGACTAATACTTGATAGATAAACATGTTAATTCACCAGCCTTTTGATGGGTGCACTTGATGAAATTTGAAGTCATTTTATCCCATAAACCATAGTCAGAATACATCATCTTGGATTCTGAGTTTCCCTGTTGATAGACCCACAATTTAAATAGTCTGATTTGCAAACCAAAGTAAATACAAATCCCTAATTGTCTATGCTATGCCTAGTCGGAAATGAAAACCTGTAGACTCTTCTAACAGATCTTTCCAAAGTAGTAAACTTAGTCTAATTGTAGTTAGCATAATATAAACTTGTTGGAACAAAGCTAAGGTTCAGCTTATTTATGACTTAATAACTAGGGAGAGCACAGGTGTGTAGACACAGCAGCAAGGGGCCTACAGGCCTGCAGCTTCCTGTGAGCCTTGTCAGTGTATTTCAGATCAAGGGCAGAGGTTGACCAAGTGATAGTAATGCATAGAATGAATCTGAGAATCAGTGATAATTTTTTTTTTCTAAGCTATATTGTTTAGCACTAACATTTGATCTATTGGGAATTACTTCTAAAATACTAACTGCTTTGCATGTGTATTTGAAAAGGGTCAGAACTGTTTTCCTAAGAAATTTCTGTACAAAAAATTTTATATAGTCATAAAGCACTAGAATGTTTTCACTTAGCTGAAATCTGTTGTCCTGTAACTTATTTCAGTTCTTCATTCTGTGCACTAGACTAAGGAATTCCAATACACAGAACTCTTCAGGTTTTCCACTGAGTAGCTGCATCCCTAGGTGAGCTGGCCAGCTTCTCTGTGCCTCTCATGTGCTCATCTCTGAGACGGTAATGAGAGGAACTCAGTTGTCTCTTTTGTGAGGGTTCTAGTTTATGCAGCTACTGCTGCTTCTGTTTCTCCTCCCATTCCCTTATACATTGCCCAAGTTCCATGTGGGAATAGGTGTTTATTCATTTTAGTCAGTTTGTGTCTCCTGTTTGCAGAATATGTGTGTTGCCATGTTAATAGGCACTTAAAAACTTTAACAGAATGAACAGGCATTTCTGTTTAAAAACAACTGATGGGGGGCGGGGGCGGCAGCGAAAGACAGACCTAGGATTTTCTTCCTTACACTTGAGCCTCTCTAGATTTACCCTGTCTCATTTCTCTTTCAGGAAAGCTGTTTGTAGGTGGTGGCTTTGATGGCTCTCATGCCATCAGTTGTGTAGAGATGTATGATCCAACTAGAAATGAATGGAAGATGATGGGAAATATGACGTCACCACGGAGCAACGCTGGGATTGCAACTGTAGGGAACACCATTTATGCAGTGGGAGGATTTGATGGCAATGAATTTCTAAATACGGTGGAAGTCTATAACCTTGAGTCAAATGAGTGGAGCCCCTATACAAAGATTTTCCAATTTTAACAAATTTAAGACCCTCTCAAACTAACAGGCTTAGTGATGTAATTGTGTTTAGTAGAGGTACACTTGTGAATAAGGAGGGTGGGTGGGTATAGAGGTTGCTAACAGCAACACAGAGCTTTTGCATATTGCATATTAAACTTGCTGTACATACTTTTTTGTGTTTATTTGGAAAGGAATGCAAAGATGAAGGTCTGTTTTGTGTATTTTTAAGACTTCTTTGGTTATTTTACTTTTTTGGAAGTTGATATTGTAAAAGAATAAACCAAGAATTGATTGGGCATATCATTTCAAGAAGTCCCCTCTCCTCCACATTTGTTTTGCCAGTTTGCACATTAAATGACTCTGCCCTCAAATGTGTACAATGGGGAGTGAGGGGTAGGGTTTAAAGACATAGTAGGCAGTTGGGTTTTTTAAGGGCCCTTTTTCAATAACTGGAACACTCTATAACAAAAGATACTTATTTAAATAGATGACAGTAACTATTTTTGTTTTTATTAAAAGAAAGCTGACATGCCTACCAATATTTAATCTTTTCTGATTGCCTTTTTATAACTTTTTATATTCTCAGTAGAATGCTTTACCTGTTGAAGATTAAATGGCAGATCCAAGTTACTGAAGCAGGTGGCAGTCTTAAAGTATGCACATGGGGTGTTTCTTTTAGACACCCAAAATGCAAGCTTCTGCTTTTGCCTCAGCTGGGTTTTTTTGTTTTTTAAGAATACAGTACCAATGTTTATTTGAATGGAGTTGCTGAACAGTAACATAGCTGTGATTCTTTTGTTTTTAAAACACTGGTCTTAAATACTTTGATTTGCTGAGGGTATGTTTTATAAAGTTAGACATTCAGTATGTAGCAGTAAAGAACAATGAAGTATTTTATCTTCTAAATCCTGTTTTAATCATTAACAGAACAATCCCAAATGGCAGCCCTCAACTGTGAAAAGATTGCTTTGAACTGTATAGGTTTGTGAATGCAGCCTTTAGCAGAACTATGTTTTTGTTCAGTATTTCTATTCACATTGATAAATATTGGTTGGGATGACTTGGTGTCTGATGTGTACTGCTACACACCTAACTTAATGGTGCCAAAATTAGCACGTCCTTATGCTTGCTCCTGATGCAAACACATTAAAGGTACTTTGCAGGAAATCCTTGCACCATGGGATTAATATCCCAATGTTGTTGTGTACTCTTTCGTTGCTAAAAGTATGGAGAATTTTTTTTTCCAGTAATGATTAACTGAAAGTATTTGTGAAAAACACTCACCTAGCATCCTACTTCTGAAATGAGTGATGTAAGGATATTTTCACACAGAAGACACAAGTGCATAGATTTTTAATGAACCAACTGGCTTAGGAAGAAAATTAGGGATGTCTCCAAATGTCCCACTAGTACTTTGCCACCTTATTTCTCTTCATCTGTTCCACAAAAAAGCGACCAAGAAAGTAAATCAGTTCACCTGGTAACTATAGTTCCTGAGCATCCATCCATCCGTACCAGATTTGGATGGACCATAACTTAGGCTACCAGATTTGAATTTGACTGTTTTCATATGGATCTTTTTATGTTCTATTCAGCACGAGGAAATAAAAGTTTTAGTTGAGGATTCAGCATTCAAAGCCTTAAAATCACCTCTCATTTTGTAAGTAGCAAGCTTAAAGTCAAATGAGGGTGGGTCAGAGTTTTCCTACGTTACCATTGATGCCAAACAGGTAGTTTGGTGGCTAACTAAGAGCAGTCTTCAAAAAAATCCATAGAAAATGCATATTATAAACAAACTGCATGGATGTCAAATTTTTTCATGCCAAAATAAATTTATACTTTAATTCTATTTTCTCACAAGCTTTTTGAAGTCCCCTGATATATTAAAAGTAACTGTAGTCAGTCCTCATGAACATAAATCTCCATAAAGGAAAAATAAAACAAACCAGTGCTTAGCAACCAGTTGTTAGCTCTTTATCCATATCTAAAAAAAATACATGTTTTCTTCAGGGGAGAAGAAATGTGACACAGCCTGAGCATAACTGTGGGATTTTGGGGGGGTTTAATACGTGTGAGTTTTCAGTAGTTTTTGCAATCAGTTATAGTAGTGCATATTAAAATACTAGGTTTTTTAAAATGGTAGCAAAACTATAAAATATGTACTTTGAGTTAACCAAATGACTGGTTGTACTCAGGCAAGAATTTTCTTTATTACACGACTTTCAATGTAGGGTTCTGATTTTTGGCTTCAAATATTGTCATACGTTCTTTGTCATATGTCATATTTCAGGGAAAAAACACGGACCTGAGGATGTGATACGGTGCTAGGATCCTTGCTTAATTAATAAATAGGTGTGTTCAACCTATAATTTCCCTCAACCTCAGAACTGTTAAAATTGAAGTAAAGACGGAAGAGTCCTAATAAAATATTTCTACGACTCCACAGCTGCCCTCAGGAAAATGTGAATTAGAAAATTTTGGCTCTATAGGATCAGTAACTTGTTTCCTTTGTTTCAAAACAAGGTTTGAGGAGTTCAGTGAGACATAGATACGAGGTAAATTAGGTGAAAATGGAAAAAGAAGGAAACACCAGTATATTAAATCCTTGTTCAGGCTGAGCTACAAATTTGATTCTGTAAATGGGTATCCTTAATTTAAATCAGTATCAGTAAATTAAAAAGGAGTAATGTTTTGTTAGGCCTTTAAGGGCAGTGTATATGGTTTTTTTTTTTTTTTTTTTTTGCTATAGGGCACGTGCGCTCGCCAGAAAGACAGATAGATAGAGAGACAGAAAGCGAGAAATCACCCCCGGGGGGGATAGCCATGCCGCAATCCCTTTTCCTCCATTCTCTCGGGATCTTGAGCACGCAAGCACACGTGCCCGGCGTGAGTTTAAGCCACCGGGTCCAGGACTCGAAACGCAGTTGACTACATGGGAGTCCAATGATATAGCCATTACGCTAACTGCTGGTTCCAGTGTGTCTGATTTTTAAACTGTAAAGTGAATAAATCTTTCTCCTAATTTTAAGCCAACATTATTCTGTGTACTTGTGCTGATAATGTAACTCATTCAGTTTACTCATGCCGATAATAACATTACTCTCAACTGTTACAAATACTTCTTCCTAGTGTGTAGATTACTTACATCATTCTGGACTGGAAACTGGCAGTTTATTTTTTTAAGAGGTCTTTGCCGTAGGGCATGTGTGCTTCACCAGAGAGAGGCAGAGACCGTGAAAGACAAAGTGAGAAATCACCCACTCAGTGGTGCTGGCCACGCCTTAATCCCTTCTCCATTCTCACCCCAGGATCCTGGGGACCCACGCACACATGCCCAGCATGATTTTCAAGCCTCCAGTCTGAGACTTAACCGTAGTCAACCCCGTGGGAATCGTGACGTATCTGCTGGCCCCTCAGTTTAATATTTTAAGCATAAATCTCTGTGGTTCTTTTACCAGGTGGTTATAACAGAGAGGAGTGTCTTCGAACAGTTGAATGCTATGATCCACATACCGATCATTGGTCTTTCCTTGCTCCCATGAGAACCCCAAGGGCCCGATTTCAAATGGCTGTTCTCATGGTAAGTGTATTATGCTACAAAGCAACCCATATTTAGCTTTTTTCCCTCATAACTTCACAGTGGGAAGAGTTCTTATCTCTCACTTGTGGGCACAGGGTCAACTCTATGTGGTAGGTGGTTCAAACGGCCACTCAGATGACCTGAGTTGTGGAGAGATGTATGATCCAAATATAGATGACTGGATTCCTGTTCCAGAGTTGAGAACTAACCGTTGTAATGCAGGTAATAATTTTCTTCTGAGATACTCAGTGTTTAAATATGGTAATTCAGCTATCAATGTATAACCATACTTTATACTTTCATAGGAGTGTGTGCCCTGAATGGAAAATTGTACATTGTTGGTGGCTCTGATCCATATGGTCAGAAAGGACTGAAAAATTGTGATGTATTTGATCCTGTAACAAAGTTGTGGACAAGCTGTGCTCCTCTTAACATTCGTAAGTTGATTTATTTCCCCCCCCCCCTTAAGGATTTATTTTCATTTCTTTTTTCAAAGACCAGTGAATCATCAGTATGTGTAGTACACACTTCAGAGTTTTAGGAGATGTAAATCTTGGTTTGACTGACTTTTATAGGTAGACACCAGTCTGCAGTTTGTGAGCTTGGCGGTTATTTGTACATAATCGGAGGTGCAGAGTCTTGGAATTGTCTGAATACAGTAGAACGGTATAATCCTGAAAATAACACCTGGACTTTAATTGCTCCCATGAATGTGGCTAGGCGAGGAGCTGGAGTAGCTGTTCTTGACGGTGAGTATCGGGATTTGGAGAGATGAAGAATAGACAGTGGTAATGTTCTAAAATCCCCAGAAAATTACTCAGAAGCGGCCATCTTTTCTGGTGCAGTGGTGACTGGCAGTTTGTCCTTTAGAAATGTCATTTTTAGTCAGAGACTAATACTTGATAGATAAACATGTTAATTCACCAGCCTTTTGATGGGTGCACTTGATGAAATTTGAAGTCATTTTATCCCATAAACCATAGTCAGAATACATCATCTTGGATTCTGAGTTTCCCTGTTGATAGACCCACAATTTAAATAGTCTGATTTGCAAACCAAAGTAAATACAAATCCCTAATTGTCTATGCTATGCCTAGTCGGAAATGAAAACCTGTAGACTCTTCTAACAGATCTTTCCAAAGTAGTAAACTTAGTCTAATTGTAGTTAGCATAATATAAACTTGTTGGAACAAAGCTAAGGTTCAGCTTATTTATGACTTAATAACTAGGGAGAGCACAGGTGTGTAGACACAGCAGCAAGGGGCCTACAGGCCTGCAGCTTCCTGTGAGCCTTGTCAGTGTATTTCAGATCAAGGGCAGAGGTTGACCAAGTGATAGTAATGCATAGAATGAATCTGAGAATCAGTGATAATTTTTTTTTTCTAAGCTATATTGTTTAGCACTAACATTTGATCTATTGGGAATTACTTCTAAAATACTAACTGCTTTGCATGTGTATTTGAAAAGGGTCAGAACTGTTTTCCTAAGAAATTTCTGTACAAAAAATTTTATATAGTCATAAAGCACTAGAATGTTTTCACTTAGCTGAAATCTGTTGTCCTGTAACTTATTTCAGTTCTTCATTCTGTGCACTAGACTAAGGAATTCCAATACACAGAACTCTTCAGGTTTTCCACTGAGTAGCTGCATCCCTAGGTGAGCTGGCCAGCTTCTCTGTGCCTCTCATGTGCTCATCTCTGAGACGGTAATGAGAGGAACTCAGTTGTCTCTTTTGTGAGGGTTCTAGTTTATGCAGCTACTGCTGCTTCTGTTTCTCCTCCCATTCCCTTATACATTGCCCAAGTTCCATGTGGGAATAGGTGTTTATTCATTTTAGTCAGTTTGTGTCTCCTGTTTGCAGAATATGTGTGTTGCCATGTTAATAGGCACTTAAAAACTTTAACAGAATGAACAGGCATTTCTGTTTAAAAACAACTGATGGGGGGCGGGGGCGGCAGCGAAAGACAGACCTAGGATTTTCTTCCTTACACTTGAGCCTCTCTAGATTTACCCTGTCTCATTTCTCTTTCAGGAAAGCTGTTTGTAGGTGGTGGCTTTGATGGCTCTCATGCCATCAGTTGTGTAGAGATGTATGATCCAACTAGAAATGAATGGAAGATGATGGGAAATATGACGTCACCACGGAGCAACGCTGGGATTGCAACTGTAGGGAACACCATTTATGCAGTGGGAGGATTTGATGGCAATGAATTTCTAAATACGGTGGAAGTCTATAACCTTGAGTCAAATGAGTGGAGCCCCTATACAAAGATTTTCCAATTTTAACAAATTTAAGACCCTCTCAAACTAACAGGCTTAGTGATGTAATTGTGTTTAGTAGAGGTACACTTGTGAATAAGGAGGGTGGGTGGGTATAGAGGTTGCTAACAGCAACACAGAGCTTTTGCATATTGCATATTAAACTTGCTGTACATACTTTTTTGTGTTTATTTGGAAAGGAATGCAAAGATGAAGGTCTGTTTTGTGTATTTTTAAGACTTCTTTGGTTATTTTACTTTTTTGGAAGTTGATATTGTAAAAGAATAAACCAAGAATTGATTGGGCATATCATTTCAAGAAGTCCCCTCTCCTCCACATTTGTTTTGCCAGTTTGCACATTAAATGACTCTGCCCTCAAATGTGTACAATGGGGAGTGAGGGGTAGGGTTTAAAGACATAGTAGGCAGTTGGGTTTTTTAAGGGCCCTTTTTCAATAACTGGAACACTCTATAACAAAAGATACTTATTTAAATAGATGACAGTAACTATTTTTGTTTTTATTAAAAGAAAGCTGACATGCCTACCAATATTTAATCTTTTCTGATTGCCTTTTTATAACTTTTTATATTCTCAGTAGAATGCTTTACCTGTTGAAGATTAAATGGCAGATCCAAGTTACTGAAGCAGGTGGCAGTCTTAAAGTATGCACATGGGGTGTTTCTTTTAGACACCCAAAATGCAAGCTTCTGCTTTTGCCTCAGCTGGGTTTTTTTGTTTTTTAAGAATACAGTACCAATGTTTATTTGAATGGAGTTGCTGAACAGTAACATAGCTGTGATTCTTTTGTTTTTAAAACACTGGTCTTAAATACTTTGATTTGCTGAGGGTATGTTTTATAAAGTTAGACATTCAGTATGTAGCAGTAAAGAACAATGAAGTATTTTATCTTCTAAATCCTGTTTTAATCATTAACAGAACAATCCCAAATGGCAGCCCTCAACTGTGAAAAGATTGCTTTGAACTGTATAGGTTTGTGAATGCAGCCTTTAGCAGAACTATGTTTTTGTTCAGTATTTCTATTCACATTGATAAATATTGGTTGGGATGACTTGGTGTCTGATGTGTACTGCTACACACCTAACTTAATGGTGCCAAAATTAGCACGTCCTTATGCTTGCTCCTGATGCAAACACATTAAAGGTACTTTGCAGGAAATCCTTGCACCATGGGATTAATATCCCAATGTTGTTGTGTACTCTTTCGTTGCTAAAAGTATGGAGAATTTTTTTTTCCAGTAATGATTAACTGAAAGTATTTGTGAAAAACACTCACCTAGCATCCTACTTCTGAAATGAGTGATGTAAGGATATTTTCACACAGAAGACACAAGTGCATAGATTTTTAATGAACCAACTGGCTTAGGAAGAAAATTAGGGATGTCTCCAAATGTCCCACTAGTACTTTGCCACCTTATTTCTCTTCATCTGTTCCACAAAAAAGCGACCAAGAAAGTAAATCAGTTCACCTGGTAACTATAGTTCCTGAGCATCCATCCATCCGTACCAGATTTGGATGGACCATAACTTAGGCTACCAGATTTGAATTTGACTGTTTTCATATGGATCTTTTTATGTTCTATTCAGCACGAGGAAATAAAAGTTTTAGTTGAGGATTCAGCATTCAAAGCCTTAAAATCACCTCTCATTTTGTAAGTAGCAAGCTTAAAGTCAAATGAGGGTGGGTCAGAGTTTTCCTACGTTACCATTGATGCCAAACAGGTAGTTTGGTGGCTGAAAGTTAAGAGCAGTCTTCAAAAAAATCCATAGAAAATGCATATTATAAACAAACTGCATGGATGTCAAATTTTTTCATGCCAAAATAAATTTATACTTTAATTCTATTTTCTCACAAGCTTTTTGAAGTCCCCTGATATATTAAAAGTAACTGTAGTCAGTCCTCATGAACATAAATCTCCATAAAGGAAAAATAAAACAAACCAGTGCTTAGCAACCAGTTGTTAGCTCTTTATCCATATCTAAAAAAAATACATGTTTTCTTCAGGGGAGAAGAAATGTGACACAGCCTGAGCATAACTGTGGGATTTTGGGGGGGTTTAATAAGTGAGTTTTCAGTAGTTTTTGCAATCAGTTATAGTAGTGCATATTAAAATACTAGGTTTTTTAAAATGGTAGCAAAACTATAAAATATGTACTTTGAGTTAACCAAATGACTGGTTGTACTCAGGCAAGAATTTTCTTTATTACACGACTTTCAATGTAGGGTTCTGATTTTTGGCTTCAAATATTGTCATACGTTCTTTGTCATATGTCATATTTCAGGGAAAAAACACGGACCTGAGGATGTGATACGGTGCTAGGATCCTTGCTTAATTAATAAATAGGTGTGTTCAACCTATAATTTCCCTCAACCTCAGAACTGTTAAAATTGAAGTAAAGACGGAAGAGTCCTAATAAAATATTTCTACGACTCCACAGCTGCCCTCAGGAAAATGTGAATTAGAAAATTTTGGCTCTATAGGATCAGTAACTTGTTTCCTTTGTTTCAAAACAAGGTTTGAGGAGTTCAGTGAGACATAGATACGAGGTAAATTAGGTGAAAATGGAAAAAGAAGGAAACACCAGTATATTAAATCCTTGTTCAGGCTGAGCTACAAATTTGATTCTGTAAATGGGTATCCTTAATTTAAATCAGTATCAGTAAATTAAAAAGGAGTAATTGCTAGAAAGCACAAATAGCCTTCATAATAAAACCAGATGTTTCTCGAGAGTCTTAAAATGATATATTGAGTCACAGGGACATAACCCATGTGGATGTCCTGGGTTCTTCAACTCATTAGCATAATGGCCAGTAAAATAGTGGACTCTGATACACATTAAGGTTACTCCTTAATCCTGACCATCTGTTGTATTAAACTGTCTTATCCAAAAGTGGTACCCAGCCTTTAAATATATAGGCTTCTGATGAAGAATCTGTATCCAGAACTCTCAAAACTCAACAGAACAATCTAGGTTTAAAATGGGCAAAATATTAGAACAAGACACTTTGCCAAAGAAGATAAATGGATGCCAGTAAGAACATGAAAAGATGGTCATGGCCAAATAATTAAGAAAATGTAAATTAAATACATCTGTTAAAAACTGAATGACCTGGGGACCAGCAGTTGGCATAATGGTTATGTCGCTGGACTCCCACGTAGTCAACCACAGTTCAAGTCCCAGACCCAGTGGCTTAAATTCATGCCAGGCGCGTGTGCGTGCGTGCCCAAGATCCCGAGAGGAGAAGGGATTGCGGCGTGGCCATCCTCCCTGGGGAGTTATTCCTTGTTTTCTGTCTCTCTGTCTCTTTCTAGCGAGTGCACACGCCCTATAACAAAAACCTCTTGAAAAAAAAAATGAATGGCCAAATTCTGGTTAGGATACAGAGCAGCTGGAATGCTCATAACTTAGTGGAGGAATCGCAAAAAACAGGCATGCTGGAAAGAGTTTGGCAGGTTTTTATGCTCAGTGACTAACCCCATTTGAAGGCACATACCTAAGTGAAATGGAACATATTCACAAACTGAATAGAGCAGCTTTATTCATAATCACCCAGAACTGTAGCCTTCTACATGGTAAATGCATTTGCATGTCTATGCAGTGCAGTGCTAGGAATAAATGCAGAGACACAGCATGGATGGGCTCAAGGATTATACTGAGTAAAAACCTCGCTGCACAGGCTCCACTTACAGAACATTCTAGAATAGGAAAAATGAACACACCATGGCCTGAGGTGGGGATGGGCACTAACGACAACAGTATTCGGGATTTTTTTTGGGGGGGGCGGGGGATGGATGTGCCATGCTACACTTGAAAAAAAGTTTACTTTCTAGCTTAACCAAAAGTATACTTAAGTTCTTGGGGTCACCAGGTGGTGTGGTGGTTTCAAGTCCTGGACCTGGTGGCCTTCCCACTCCCCCTCCATTCTCTCTGGTAATTTAAAAATAATAATACTTATTTAAAAAAAAAAAAAGTATTACTTAGTCTCTAAAGGAGCCAGTTTTAAAGAAGGACAAAGAAATGTCCATATTTTAGTCTCACTAGAAGTCACATTAGGGAATCCTTTCATTCCCACTGACCTTGCAGGGTCTACGCTGGGCTAATGTAGTTAATTAAGCATAACCATGAGTCAATAGTAGAGTTGTGAAGACAGATAGGAATGAAACTCAAAAGGACAGGATCTCACATGGCCAACCAGAGTTTCAGTCCTGGCTTGGAAAATGCTGGGCACATGAAGCATCCTAACAGGATAGAGAACTGGGGGAAGACTGCAGTGACCAGCCCTTCCCATCCCACCCCCCCCACACACCCTCTGGTAGTAAAAGGGAGGGGGGGCATGGAGTAAGCTGGGAAAAAGCTTGTGTAAAATGGTGTCAGGTACCTAAGTATGGACTATTTGAATAATCCTCACAGATGCCTCATGACATTGATCACCAGGTCCTCATGAAGGCAAGGCCAAGGGCATTGTACAGGGTCCCTTTTCTGGTGTGACTCCCAATCAGTGCCTCCTGATTTGTGGCATGCTTATGGTAGTTTCTACCCAAAAAACTAGCTCTACATGCCGAAGAGAAATTTTAAAAGCCTAAAGATCCTCCTCTAAGAATGTAATTTTTCCATTGAAACATGTTTTGCAAGGTGAGGCTTATGATGCATGAGCCAAATTAAATATTCCAACCCAGAGGGAGGACCTGGAGAAGGAAGAAAAAAATGGAGGGTGGTTGAAAAAGGAATCCTTCACTTCTCGGACAATAAGGAGAATATAAGAGTTTAAGAGGCTCCAGCAAGTGGTGTGGTTGGAGCACTGGACTCCCACATGGCCAACTGCAGTTTGAGTCCTGGACCTGGTGGCTTGCTTTCCCACTTTCTCTCAAGTCAAATTAAAAAATAATTTTTAAAAAAAGATTAAGATAAAATAAGGAAGAGGGAAAATATATATATTAAAAAGTCCGGACATTTCAAAATAAAGAAAGGCTAAAATAATTGTAAACAGTTCTAAACAATGTTTCTAAACCAAAAGAGTGGAAAAGTTATTAAAGGACATCCTCATGCCACAAATAAAAATAGGTAAAATGGGCCAGCCTGTGGCATGGCGGTTAAAGTGGCTGGTCCCCCATGGCTAACTCCATGTTTGTCTTAGGCCTGCCAGCTTAGAAAATACTCAAGACACATCAGTGCATGACCAAAATCCTGGACGGAGGGAGAGATGGGGGAGAAGGGATTGGGGCAAGACTGATGCTTGCTTTCTTTCCTTTCCTTTTTCTCACTCCAGTGAGTGCATGTGCACTCTGGGAGATGTTTAAAAAGTAAAAATAACATGAATCAATATACAAAGTAAAAGATACAAGCTAAAAAATTAAAACTCATGTACATAAGGGTGAAATATATAAGGTGTACGCAGGTGATAGGAATGAAAGGAAGTCATGAAAAGCGTATTTAAAATATAAGATAGAGGTAGTAGAGCAGAGTGAAACAATAACTAGAAGTTCAGAGAGAAATAACGAATAATGTTCTTTTGGTGGGGGCTGAGGATGATGTATTTTTGACTCCTCAAGAACAAAGAAAGAAAGAGGCAGAAAGCAGAGATGCTCCTCTGAGGCTTCTCTGATTGCCCAGATGGGCATCCTAGGCCCCATCCACGGGTTGGTGCAATTTCCTAACCTGGCAAAGAAGGCCTAGCAGGTCCTGCACTAACTGCTAGCAAACGTGGTGAGTATATTTTTTACTGGAGAGATCACTTTTTTTTTTTTTTGCTATAGATCATGCGTATTCCCCAGAGAGAAATCATCTTCTGGAGTACTGGACACACTGCAATCCCTTCATTATCCTCTCAGATTTTGGGCACATATGTACATGTACTCAGTATGTTTTCCAAGCTCCACTGGGTTCTGGACTTGGGTCACACCTTTAGCCATGTGAGGTCCAGCTGCCCTAACCACCATGCCGACTGGCCCAGAGAAGATCATTTTTATTGTACTTTATACACGTTTCAGAAACACAATTTGGATACAAAATGAAAAGCAAAGTCTTACTAAAAATAAATTTATTGCTTTTGAAAAATAAAGTACTGCTTAGAATAGAATACCAAATTTGATTTAATCTAATGTATTAACAGGAGCATAATACAGTCTAATAAACAAGGATTTCCAACTTACTGTATACTTAAATAAGGTTTCAGGGGGCAGACATCAATCGCATTCATGTCATTTTATAAATTCATGCTGCTTCACATTAAGAGGGAACTCCACACAGGGCTCACCATGCTCTGCCCCATTAGACATACACTGAAAAGGTACGAGCTCAGAAAACAGGCTAGACAGGAAGTAGGCACACTACAGTCAGATTTTGGCTTTCATTACCTTGAGGGAGTTGGGGGTACACAGGTATTAATTTCACCAGGTCCACATGGATGATAGCTTGATCACAGAATCAGCCCAGGGTAAAAGTTCACTGACGGAATGTGGAGAGCATGGTCACGTACTAGTCTTTAGGCTTTGGCATGATCTGGTCACATGCCCATACTGAGGGTTGGAGATGCTACTGCTGGGCCCTGAGCCTGCTTCTGATGCCACAGAAGCTTCTGCCTGAGGATGGCTAGAGATGGCTCTTCCTTCCTTGGAGATTGTGGCTCGGATCAGGAGTAGAGGTAAGGAGGTACTGTCAGTTCCACAAAATTTGAGTCCGCAGTTTATCCCACAATGGATGTGTTAGATTGTTTTAGCGCTTCAAGGAGCTAGTAATAGGCAATCACTTTTTTGTACCTATAAACTTTCTTATCATTCTCTTCGGTTTGACTCAGAAAAGTGACCAGGTTGAATGCTACTGTTATTTTTTTAAGACAAATGTATTAATTCCTTTTAAGTTACAAATCAACGCTTAGGTCCTGTGGTTGAGTGTGTCTTCACACCAGCCCCTCTTTCTGGCCTCCATATAGACAGATGCATTGCACTGCTGCATGGTATATCCCATCTCAACCAGCTGGTGGCATCCAATAGTTAACTTTTCCCTAGGGAAAAGGAAATGTTAAATCACTGCAAGACTGCTGGTCAGATACATTTTTTTAAGAGAGATTTTTGCTGTAGGGTGCATGCACTCACCAGAGAGAGAAATCACCTCAACTCCCCACTACCCCAACCAATCTCTGGTAACCACCATTCTCCTCTTGTATCAGTTCAACTCTTAGATTCCACATATAAGTGAGATCGTGTAGTATCTGTCTTTCTGTGTCTTAGTTCACTTCATTGATAATGGATTTATTAATGTTGCTACAAATGACAGGAGTTTCTTCTTTTGAAGGGATTGTTGTATTGCATTGATTATATGCACACATCGTTTATCCACTGATGGAAATTTAGTTTGATTCCGCATCTTGGCTATTGCGAATAATGCTGCAGTGAACACGGAGTGCAGTTAACCTCTTCATCATGCTGCATCATTTTAGATGTATTAAAAATTCTTAATACAATTAGATAACACTGGGACTTAAAATATATATATTTTTTGCTATTTGAGAGAAATATCAACAATGATGGTTTCTTAGCACAGACAACAACATAGGAGTAGTACTAAGCTGTATAAGTTCAAACACAGGCACATGGAGAAGACTGAGGCACAATTTCTATAATTCCATACTGCTGCCAACAAAAGCAAAGTTGGATGCTATGGTCCTTCATTTGAGGGGCTGGGCTGAGCAGTCTCATCTCCGAAGGGCCTCCCCTTAAGCAGAAGATGGCTTATGTAAAAATGGTCTAATCCAAGGAGTAAGAAACTAGAATAGATGGCTCTTGTTTTATTTGGTTTGGGAGTTAAAAGAATAGGTAGGGGGCCAGCTGGTGTTGGAGGTTTAGAGGACTGGATCCCACATATCTAACTGTGGTTTGAGTCCCAAACCTGCGACTTGAAAACCATTCCAGGCATGTGTGCGAGTGTGTCGAAAATCCCAAGAGAAGGAGGAGAGTGCAGCCATCCCCCCAGAGGGTATTTTCTCACCTTCCCTCTCTATCTCTGTCTGTCTGAGGAGCGCACATGCCTTATAGCAAACTTAAAAAAAAAAAAAGTCAAAAACAGGCTGGAGGATATTAAGAGGCTGAACAGTCCTCCCGAAAGAACTGAACACTCAAGAGGGGACAGGAAATTGGCAGAGCCCCAATTCTTAAAAATGACTGCTGAGTCGGAAACAGGAGGGAGCGAATCGGGGGAAAAAAAATTCAACAAACAGAAGTAAAATTATGTGTTAAGGATGATGTGTATAGTAATATCTTTGGACTAATATGCAGTATATTCATGCTGAGATGATTCTTTTTGTATGCTGCACAATATACAGTAATGTAAATAAAATGGAAAAATAAGAAAGGACTGCTTATCACTTAGCAGTTAACAAAAGAACATTACAGTAAGCGAAGGGTGGGAAGCTGCGAGTAATGCGCCTATTCCATGCCAGGACTATTGAGACAGGAGTTAGACCCAGTGAGTAGGTGTAGGGCAGAGGCCCCCAAGGAAGAGTCATTGTGATGTGAAATGGACATAACACATATGTGAAGATAGAGTCAACTTACAAGATGGAGTCACTCTGGTCAAGCTTTTAATAAAAATCATTCACTGCTCTCACTAAAATCAAGTATTGGCAAGAGCTCTCACTGCTTGCTCACACAGAGAGAACTGCTTTTAGGCTAGAGTTGCTTACAGCTTGTTTGAAATGAGGACACCTAAGCAAAAGAGCAAAAGACCCTGAGTAGTAATTTACTCTTGCATCTGCCCGATAAAGTGACCCCTGACATCACAAAAAGAAATTTCCAGACTGGTAGTGATACTGTGGTGGGCAGTTAGCTAGAAATGAGTGGGCAGCCCTAAGATACTAGCAGAAGGACATCTGCCATGTCAATCACAACTTATAGGAGTTACAATCAGACCTACTTGGAGAACTACTTCCTTCTACCCAGCTCCTGGCACAGAGGAGGGCATTATCTTCCCTCCTGCCATCACAAATATACATACAGAAATTTACTGCCTGGATGGGATTGGATGTTAAGTCAACATCCTGATTCCCACTGGGGCAATAAACTAATTGGGCAGCTCATCCAGATACAGATGCTCAAACCTTCAAAGACCACACGGAGCATGCGTGATTAGACAAATTACTCACCTAAGAGAAAGGCATAAGCGCAGGAAAAGCTCAACAAGTCAAAGAATCCAGATATGACAAACCTTCCCTGCTTAGTATTAATCACCATATCCCCAAATAAAAGTAACACCTAGCCCTATGCCCAATGCAGTTGTCCTCTGGCAGCTGTCCACCTACATGCCTTTGAGGCATGGGCATGTACTTTTCTATTAAAAATCCTCACTTTCCTATTAAAACTTTTTCTACTTTACCAGTATTTGTGGTTTTGACTCAGGGCGGGTCTCTAATCTTAGAGATCTGGGTCCAAAGAACAGAGGATTTTGTACAATGCAGCTCAACTCCCCCATCCCATAACAGCACTCCCTACAGATGATTCACTAGCTTCAAGCACTAAGCTTATCAATGAGCTGGCATTTCTCCTCAATATGACAGCCAGTCTTTGCAAGCTGCTTCTCTCAACCACAGAAAGCCATCTTCTTAGAGACTAAAGAAGTCTCAAAACCAGGAGCCTGAGAAAAGCCCCTGTAACCCAGGTAAAAACTCCTCACCTCAGTTCTTTGGCAAACCATTTTCTGAGACCTGCTGCCTGCTTGGGAACTCTGTTCTTCCTTCCCTCTCCTTCAATAAACTCTCTGCTTGCTATCCCCTCTCTGTGTCTGTGTCTCTAATTCTTCGTGAACATGAGACGAGAACCTGTGTCCCACAGTGGGTGCTGGGTCTGATCATCCCTGTACCTCCACGTCCCTGCGTCACTATGTCACAATTTTACCTCAGACTAAGCTAGTTTGGTCTTTTTTTCTTTTAAGAGAGAGATTTTTGCTATAGGGCACATATGTTCACCATCGTGACAGAAAGTAAGAAATCACCCCCCTTAGGGGGATGGCCATATTGCAATCCCTTTTCCTCCATTCTCCTCTTCAGGATTTTGGGCACACATGCACATGTACCTAGTGTGAGTTTCTAGTCTGGGAACCCCAGTATGGGACTCAAACCATGGTTGCCTATGTGGAAGTCCAGTGATATAACCATTACGCCATCTGCTGGTCCCCCTAATTATATATGCTAATGTGTCAGAAAAACAAACTTTTCCACTCTTCTCTCTCAATACTGATCACTTCTGCGATCCCAGATGTGTGGAGGTTTCTCCACATCAGCAAGTAAGCAACTCTGCAGCAGTCACCTGCTGGGCATCCTCTAACTCAATCAGTTCTGACACTGTCTACCTGGAGAGAGCAGCAAATCCCCAAATTGATGGCTCAGTCCCACAAGACTGCCCCCATTTCGGATGCCAGACCCAGTCTGGCTCTGGGCCTCTGGAACTTCTGACCAACTGGCTACAAGTTGGGGCTCCCAGGACCCTTTCCTTGAATTCTACTAACTTGATAGAGTAGCTCACAGAACTCAGGGCAACACTTTATTACATTTGCCGGTTTATTTTAAAAGACTATAAATTACAGCCAATGCCACAAATGATTAGGGAGCAGGATCCCACATGGCCAAGTGTATGAAAAACAGACCCAGCAGCTTAAAAAACATAGCTGGCACATGTTCCAAATCCTAAAAGGATGAGAAATGGAGGAAGGAAGGGACTGTGACATGACAATTCCCCATTGTGGGGTTCTCTCTCGCTCTCTTTCTCTCTCTGGCAAGTGCACATGCTCTCTGGCAAAAATTGTTTTTTAATTAACAGCCCAATGATGAGATATATATATAGGGTGAAGTCTGAAAGGGTCCAAGCCCAGGTGTTTCAGTCTCTCGGAGCTGGAATGCAACACTTCCCCAGCATGTTCACCTCCCTCCAAAACCTCCATGAGTTCTGCAGTCCAGCTCTGCAGACCCTGCCATTCTGAGCCTGAACTGTTATGGAGACCTCACTGAACTGACAATGGACAACTTGATAGAAACATGATTGGACAAAAAGGGTAAAATCTAGGAAACAGACTTGAGTGGGAAATGCAGCAAGAACTGTGCAGATACTTTTTGGCCTCTCTCTGCAGCATTTCTTCCCCTGGGGTGTGGGGCAAGACTTCTCCCAAAAAGAGGTTTCTAAATTTGTTTACAAGCAGTTCTAAAACAGAAGGGTGGGGGAAGATTAGAGTATAATTCAAATTTCTGTGGAATACTTTGGGAAGCTTCTAGAACCAAGGACAAAGGCGAAATGCTTATGAACCAGGAACTATGGACAAAAAAAGCAGCATATATATCATGTTGATGTGTGTGTGTAAAATCACATATCACATATATAGTGATTGTATATTCATATATCATGAAATCATAGTTACCCTTCAGTAACTAGAATTTTTTAAGTTCTATTTTTTTCCTATAGGGTGCATATTCAGACAGAGAAAAAGAGAGAGAGAGAAAGAGAGAGAGATGAGAAATTACCCCCGTGAGGATGGCCACACCATAATCTCTTCTTTTTCCTCTTGGGATTTCTCCTTTGGGGCATGCATGCATTCACATCCAGCGTGTTTTTCAAGCTGCCAGGTCTAGGACTTGAACCACAAAGTTGGCCATGTGGTATTCAGCCACCTTAACCTCTGTGCCACCAGCTGGCCCCTGTGTTTTATTTTTTAATCTCCCCTTGCAATTAATCTCTCTTGATCCTACTGGCATTGGATTTCTTTATCATGTCAGTCAGTATTCTAATAATGGATTGTTACCGGCAGATTTCATTTCTACAGCAACTTCTGTCCTTGCTGACAGGAAGGTATTGGCTGTTTTTAGTAGTGTTTGTTTGGGTGGTATTTTTTATTAGATCACAATAATAGGAATTCTTGAATTCCTCTTCCCAGTTGCTGATTTGTAGAGTGAGCATATTTTCAAGGGGGGACACCTTAACACCTCTGCTTGCCATTCCACAGCATCTCCAGGGAGTCCTCTGC